GCACGCTGCGGGGAGCGGGAAAGGAGGCGCCCCGGGGGCTCGGCGCGCTCCGCACCGCGCCAGGAGGCCGTGCCGGGGGCAGCGCTCCGCCCCAGCGGGGGCGGGGGTAGCGCGGCAACAACCCCCCCCCACGCACACACACACACAACCCCCTCATAGAGCAGGCAGCCCCCGGCCGACGCACTCACCATATTGACTTCCGAGACCATGTCGATGCTGGCGATGTCTATGTTCATGCCCACGGCCACCGGGGGACCTGCAAACCGACAAGACGGGCCGCGCTGTCATCTCCCGCAACTTAACTCGTTCTTACCACAGTTAGCATCAATAGCGATGCGCAGAGCTGAAGCGACGCTTAAGAGCAGCGTACACCGAGAAAAGAAACCAGATTAGGAACCAGGAATCCAATCCCCCCGCCGCAAGCAAACCCGGGCTCCCCACAGCCCCGGGCTCACCCCGCGCGCCCCCGGCCGCGCTGCTTTATGTAACCCGCGCACGTGGCGGAGCCGGGGGGCGGCCACGGGGCGCGCGGGCTCCGCGGGGGCGCCTCAGCTTCCCCCCCCCCCCCAGCGCGGCCGCGGGGGCTCCCGGCAGCACCTCCCGCCCCCCCTCCCCGGCGGGGGAGGGGAGACACAGCGAGCACCTCCAAAATAAATAAATCAACTAGTTAAAGTGGGGGCGCACAGGGGGTTAAATGACATTTTTGTCTCAGTTAACAGCACATCTTGTACTCAAAAATAGTAACTGCGATCACAGGCACATTAGGCTGAGGAGCAAACGATGGGTAAACTTGAGAGACTTGCATCCTGATAAAGCCCGTTAAACAAGCGTTTAATTACAGGTTAATAAATCATCAGCGCAAACGCACGACAAGGGACCGATTACAAACACACAGGAGATTTAACTGATCGCATTAAGAGCGCCCTGTGCTAAGGAAATTGAGTAACAATTGGCTTAACTTTGAATCAGCTTGAGAAAATGGCACCACACACCTCCGAGCAACAGCACCCGCTGCACGTTTAAAACCCGCCCGCCGAAGGTACCCGGGCTGGGTAAGCAATAGCTCTTATCCAAAAGCAGTCAAATTACCTCCAAAATCTGGCCTCAAGCGAATGTCATAGCCCTTCAGCAGTCTATCCACGGTTTCTTTTACCAGTGACATATTGCTAGGGTCATTGACACTGAAGAAAAAGAAAAAAGAATATAGATTTCTTATTTCTCAGAACCGAGCTGTACATTCCTATCAGTGGTAACATGCAGTGCAATTCAAAGTAAAGCGAAAGAGATACCTTCATCACTTACCTCTGCGCACACACCACCGCTATTATTAAAGGGAAGGACCAAATCCCAAAGTAACCCTTTTTCCGGACTCTCAACATCCCTTTGGCTTTTGATATGATTTAGGGTTTCAGTGAAGAGGAGATCCAACTTATTCTGGCCAGTGCAGTAATTCTAATGTGCAGCGCATGCGCACGGCGTACCACAACATCAAAAGGAGCAGTGGTTGCTGCTGGAGATGGAGCAAATTTCCTTGCCAAAAAAAAAAAAAAAAAAAAAA